CTTTTGATACATATTTGTTCTCCAGCAGTGACCACTTTTTGCATCCCCACCAGCACTGGGACTACTTTACTTTTTGATCTCATGCCAATCTAAAAGGCAAAAAGTGGTATCTTGTTGTTTTAATTTGCATTTCTTTGATTACTAATTAGGTTGAACTTCTTCGCATGTTCATTGGTCAATTTGCATTTCTTCTTTTGTGAAATGCCTGCTTGGGTCCTTTGTGTAATTTTCCACTTAAGTGTTTCTTTTCTTGATTAAGTAGTTGATATAACTGTCATCCATTATAAATATTTCTGTCCTTTTGACCTTTCCTGTGACTTTTTTTTATGGGTCTTTAGGATGTTATAGGCATCATATAATTTTTATGTTAATTATCTTGATCTCTGTATGTCTGCCTTGACTTATGCTTAGGGCTGTTCTAATTTATGGTTGTATAATTCTTTTAAATATAGAAATATTGGTGTATATTAGGAGATAGGGCTTTATTTTTTCTTTTTAAAGAATTAATCGATTCAAGTTACCTTTTATTATTTCCCATTGAACTTGTCCACCATTTTCACATAAGTAATTTTAACAATGCATATGAGTGTTTCTCTGGTCCATTCTTTTTTTTGTTTGTTTGTTTCTTGGTGTTTTAATTATAACATTACAAAATATATCTGACAGAGCATACACTCCCCTCCTCTACCTTTAAAAGATTTTGTTAATGTAACATTCTGAGAAAATTTGCAAATCATTTTTCACTTTCCTTGCTCTTCCTTACATCAGAGAAAATACTGAGATTTGGACTATTATAAAGTAACGTATAATAATGAGAATGCTGGTATGGAAAATATGTAATCTTGGAACTTTGTATATCTCCAGTCACTTCTTTATATCTCAGTGAATTTTGCATGTCTTTTTCTCCATTTAAATCCAGCACCATTTTGCTAATTGATTCCTAGGTATATTGTGCTAAATGGTATGGGGTCTCTGTACCTCCATTTTGTTTTCATAGATATAAACATGTTTCCTTACTGCATATTTTTATCAGGTCTAAGGATTAAGTTGAGCCTTTCTGAGTTTACAAATATATTGTGATAACATTGATAGTTACAGCTTCAGCTCCTCCCCCGATTATTACCATTTATTTTTCTTACTGTATTTAGCCATAATGCCTAGAATAATTAGGAATGGTGAGGGTGATAGTTGCTATTCTTTCCTTATTCCAGGAAATTCTGGTGTGATGTTGGCTGTTGGTTAATATCTTTAAATTTGCAGGGTATGAGGGGTTTTTAATTGGAGTGATTATTGAATTACTTTTTAACTGGAGTAAAGCACAGGCCTGTAGAAGAATTCAGACTATGGTATGAGACTTGAAATGAAAAGTGAAGTGTTTATTTCATCCCATTTTTCTTCCCCTCAGTGAGTATTTGTTTTTTTCTTTCCTCTTCTCTTTCTTTTGTGCTCTTGTTTTATGTTTGACTATATAAAACTAAATTTAGACGTGATACAATGTCATAGCCAATATAAAATATGTCAGATGTTATGTAGCATAATATATAGTATGGGTCTAATTTCAAGATTATTTGCAGAACTACAAATTATTAGATTTTTTAAAAGACAGCTAACTAGAAAGAGGAAAAAGCATGTATAGAAGTAATGTTTAAGAACTACAAATGAAAAATAAATGGGAAGATGTTCAACTTTACTAATGGTTTGACTGATTTCTAGAAAAATATAAACCAACCTCCAAATTTCTTCAGGTGGGAAAGTAATCTAACTTATCTGTACATACTCAGCCATAAGAGGCAGAAACCCAGCAGAACTTCCCTGTGGAAGACAAGTTTTCTTCCACTCCACAGGATGCTATTTACCACATAGTCCCTTGCATGCCACAAGAGTGAGGATTTTCTGGGGTCTTTGGTAAGCCTGCTTCCTTTCATTCTTGGTGGTGGAGGGAAGGGGATAAGATAACCCTGAACTTGCTCAAGTGTTATGGAGACCCTGACCATATGCCTACCTGCTCAACTGGTAACATGATTGCCAGTTTAAATGTAGTCCTGATTTACTATGAGTGAATCTGATTTCCCTTATATATAGCACCACACTATCTAGCTTCTAGTTTCTAGAATATTCTTTCCTTAAAAGGACAAGAACTTCCAGAGAAATCCAGATGAGCTCAGACAATATTCTAAAGGCTATTTTTCAAACACATCTGTAGGCTACAGCAAAGGAGTTAGAGGAACTCTCACCAGTCAACTGGTGATAATTTTGAGTATAAATGTGGAAATAAAATTTGTAGTTAACTGCAATGTTGAGTCTTTAAGAGATTATAACTTCATGATATGATCAAAGGGAGAAAATCTAGAGGATTTTAAAGCAGTATTCTTTTTCTTTCTCCTATCTTTCTTTCCCTCCATCCTTCCTTGTTTTATATTTATATTCTGTCTCTGTCTCTCTGTTTCTCATACCAGGGACTAAACCTAGGGCCTTTGCACTGTACTACGAATCTAACTCCACCTCCCTTCTTTCAAATTTAAGACAGGGTATCCTTAAGTCATTCATTTCGCCAGTCTGGATTTGACTTTGTGAAGCTTCTGCCTTGACTTGCAGTGGCACTGGGATTACAGGTGTGCACTACTATGCCTGGCTCTAAGTAGTATTTTCAAAATGCGATCCAGGAATTTTTTCAAAGCATTAGGAAAGACTGTTTTCATAATATAGCACATATTACTAAGAATATATTTTCATTTCTCCCTTTCTCTGTCTCTTAAAGTCCCAGTAGGATTTGCAGAGACAATGGGCTGTATCACCTTTCCCTTACAGGAATATATGCTTTGTATCTGTTGCTTTAAAATATCCCTGTTTAAATGTCTAAAATATATGGATAGATATAACCTACCTCCAGAAAGGCTGTCTGCCTCCCCTCAAAAATCTTTGAAAATGCAAGGGGGCTCTGAGACTAGCAGTTTAAGAACTGTTGTACCAGAGAAAAGTCAATCTTGCTAAATCAGGTTAAATAGTATCTATAGAAGAGGGGTGGGTTTGGACTGGAGCTTTATACCAGAGTGCTTGCCTAGCTCTGGGTTCAATCCCTCAGCACTGTGAAGAAAAAAAAGGATGGGGTGAGTCATTCAGTTCATAAAAGTATATAGAGCATTTTGGCTCAAATATGAACATTTTATTGATTAGTTTGATCCTTGATTATAGCAATAATTACTGTGTGATTGTCTAAGAATGTTTTACTATACAAAGAAAATCTTGTAGTGTTGCTACTTTGAGGGTGGTTGATTCTTGGCTTATTGAAGGATGACAGAAATCACTTGCAGCTGGACCTGAAATCTGAGCCTCTGAAGAAATGAGACTCGAGAAGTGGACTTCGGTTCACCCTTACCACTGAGGAAAGGGCTTCCTCTTTTTTTTTCCTATAGTGGTACCTGTATTTCATGAGCAATCAGAGGATGCTTTGTAGAATGCTTGGCAGAAGTCCAAAACTTCCTGGGAACACAGAAGAACTGCTTAAAGCTCCTGAGAGTCCTTACTCCAATCTAAGCATAGCATTGTGTGCCTTCTGAGGGCAGAAGGAGCTGTGTGAGGACCTCATCTTTCTGGTAGCACCCCTGCTGTTTCTGCGTCTCTTTCAGGTCGCAACTTTTTCTCCTTTGATGGTCAGACTCTTTTCTTTTTTGCATTCCTATTTGTGAAAGATACTGTGAATGTTCTCATGGAGAACTTGCACGGTGTTTTGTATTACTGAAAATTTCTTGGCTGGGAATTTAGCTCAGTGATGCTGCACCTGCCTTGCAAGCACAAGGTCCTGAGTTCGATTTCTAGTACCAGGGAAAAAATATTCTTATGCTTTATAAGTTACTCAAACAGTGAGATAGTTTTGAAGTTTGCTTTTTAGGTTTATTAGGTGGTATGAAAGCATCCTTTAGTTAACTCATTAGTGAGCCAGTACTCTACTAAACCCTCCTGGTGTTCGATTTCTAGTACCAGGGAAAAAATATTCTTATGCTTTATAAGTTACTCAAACAGTGAGATAGTTTTGAAGTTTGCTTTTTAGGTTTATTAGGTGGTATGAAAGCATCCTTTAGTTAACTCATTAGTGAGCCAGTACTCTACTAAATACCCTCCTGGATGTCCCATGACTTCCAGTATTTTTCCACTCTGGCTGGTAGGAACATGGTGGTGATCTCAGCATTGTTTGTTAAGCCTGTAAGCGGTTTTGTCCCTGGCTTAAAGCCTCTTCACACTCAGTGAGGACTTTAGGAGGCACTCTGCAAAGCTAGAGTTTGCTTTTTGTCCAGGCTTCTGTGCTCCAGGAATTTTATTTATAAAAGCTAGTCATCTTGGCCCTCTTTGCCACTTTCTGAAACATTTGTGGAAATCCCCTCTCATGAGTTTGGTTGCACTGTCATGGCTGCCTGGATGTCCTGAATCTCTTCAAAGCCTTTACTTTTCATTGTCATTTTGACTTTGAAGAAGAGCCAGAAGTCATGTTGTGCCCAATCTGGTGAAAAAGGTGGATTGAGGACACATCTTAATGTTTTTATGAGCCTGCCTTTCTGTTCCATGGCACCGGGCAGCAGCAGTCCTCATAAAGATGCTCCTGAAAGAGCATTTCCAGAACTGCTTCAGAAAGTAGCAAGAATGATGGATGATGTGTTCAAAGCTAGAGAGTATTTTGAGGACTAAAGGCAATGTGTCTTTTACTGTAATAATTTTTAAAAATTTAAACATACTATATTTTTGATCACCCCTTTATGTTCATGGAATTCTTCGTGTATTAAATATTCTCAGATTCTGAATGTTGTGTTAGGCCCTTGTGTGGCAAGAATGGTCTCCATTCATTTTAATGACCCTGATTTTCTTTTCTCACCTTTCCATCTAAAACTGGGCTGATGAAAAGAAAAAGACATACAAATACTAAGGATGAAGATGTTCTAGATTTAACTGTTATTCATATATTTAAAATATGGATATAATTTTGATGGAAAATTCACATGTCTTTTCAGGTAATTCCAGGTTTGATCTGCTATGTAAAGAAGATTCCATTGAGCTCAAAGACATATTCTCAGTGAAACTGAAACGGCTTTGTTCCTTTAAACAGCAAAGACGTGGCACTTTATTAGGCATCACACTTTTCATCTGCTTGAAAAAGGAACACAATAAGTTAAAGGATTCTACACTTGATCTTATTAATTACAGTGAAGATCACTGTGACATATGGTTTAAAGAGCTGAAAAAAATTTTGGCAGGTGAGTTCTCCTTATGGGAATTTTTAATGAGTACGATTTCCTTGATGTGGTTTGTAATCTAAACATGTTGTATTTATGCGTATAAATGGTAGGGTAGTTGATTATGTCAAGGACATATCCCTCTATTCCACATTTGTTTGGTGTTTTTGTCAGAAGAGAGTATGGAATTCATCACGTACTTTCTGTTTCAGTTGAGATGATTGTATACCCCCCTTTATTCTGTTGAAGGGATGTTACTTGATTGGCCTTCATGTTCAACCTTCCTTGAATTCCAGGGATAAATTTCACTTGGTCATGTTAACCCTTCTCATAATAAGCATTTTATTGGGCTGTTAAATTTGATTTGCCATTTTGTTAAGGATTTTTGTACCGATATTCATATAGGATATTGATTTGTAGTTTTCCTGGTAGGCTCCTTGTCTGGCTTTGACATCAAGGTGATGCTGGTCCCACAGAAAGACGTAGTGTTACGTCTTGAATGACCAAATTCACTAAGAAGCTTTGACAATTGGAAATAACAGTTTAAAAAAAATAAACTTCATTTGGTTGTATGTTATTTTATGCATACGCCTCTTGAGTTCATTTTAGAATTTATTTTTCTTCCATCTACACATTGCTTGTGTGTGTGTGTGTGTGTATATATATATATATATATATACTAAATATTTCAAAATAAGATTTTTTTGAAGATAAATCTTTGAGGGGGGGCTTTGTTTTATACTGTATCAATTGAGAGTGGTCTATTTTAAGGGTAGGTTTTTCTAAAGTTTTATCTAAAAACATGTTTATTAGAATACACTTCATAATGAACAGTATGTCTGAAACTTACGGCATATTTATATTTATATTCTAAAAATAAGAGAATTATAATGCAATTTGAATTCTAGAGGCTAACCAAAATAAAACCTGATTTTTACAGTTGATATTTTCCCCCTGATAGGTTTGCAAATCTTGCTTATTTTTCTTTTAGTCCTTTCTTCCTTCTTGTCTGATTAGCAAGGGCACAGGCAGCTGTTGGAAGTATTGATGCGTTGATGGTAGAGTTTGGGGTTAGAAAGCTCAGGACAAAGATGGGTGCCAGACAAGGGCAGCACACAGTGATGTCAGAAATTTCCCGGGCCGGGACCATGGATGGAGACCCTGAAGACCCATGCCGGCAGCCGCTAAGGTTAAGTCCATGAAGAGAAGCAGAAGTGGCTGCATTAAAACAGGAGACAGTAGCCCCATGCTTCCTTGTTAGCCTCTTGGGATCTTTAAAGAAACTTGATTTTTTTCAAGAGGGTCGGAACCCACAGAGGCCATAGTTTAGTTCATCTCTCTGAAAACAGAAAATATGTGTGGTGAACTAAACATATTCCACTTTAGCAGTGGGTCTTTTACACTGTTGTTATTTCCTATTCTTGTCAGAGGTGATAATTTATGAATGAAAAATTAATCCTTTCAATTGAATTACATGTATACATGACTAGATATTCATAAGACTTGCAAGGTCTATAAAGTGAGTATGTCATTTATTTAGCAGAGGCAAACTCTTCCTTGCCCTGAAGGTCTGAGAGAGTCTCCCAGGGGGCTTATGAAGCAGCAGACTGAGCTGACTTCTCCAATACATCTCACCCACAAAATCAATACGAGGAAGCAGAGGAAATCACAACAAAGCTCAATTCTGTAAAAGCAATTTTACTGCAGTAGAGGGACTTGTCAAAAACCAAACCAAATGAAGCCCCGTGAAAATACTGCCCAGACATTTCTCTTAATGAATGAAGTTTTGATTTGATCTAAGGTTGAAATCTAGATAAATTATGAAGGTAAATAGATGACATCTTTTAAGCTGTCATCATCTGGTGACACCTCTTTTTTGTACCTTTGATTTTGAGGAGACAGTAAAACATACAGGGTTGTGTTCTCTGGCATGAGCCTGGAGTAGAATTATTTTGCTGATTAAAAGCAAATGTATTGACTTTTAAAAGCAAGCAGTACAAACAGACAACACAAGTTTGAAATCCTCTGCTGAGACTGAAGGAACCTGACCAAGATGGAGTAAAGCCCACCTCTGCACCTAGATGAAGTGAACTTCTAACAGCAGGAGCCCACTCTCTTTACTAGCACTCCCCTTTCAGACAGTCCGAGTCATCCTCACATGTACAAGTGAGCTCCCTGCCATGCCAGTTCACATATGGGCGACTTCTTTTTAAGGTTATGATCTTAAAGTTTTTCTGAATGTTTCTTTCACTTTCATACTGTGTAATCCAGGGGTTTAACTGCCTTCATCTGAGACTGATATGGTTGGCTCCAACCTCCTACTTTTAAGTGCAGGAGATGCTGTTCCCTTTCTAATCACCTATGCTAAGGCTGTTGCCTGCCCTTCCCTGGTCTTCTTTGGCTCTGTTTTCCACAGGTTAGGTCTGTGTCTGCCTTACCCCTGACTCATATTCAGTCTCTCTTCTCTGACACAGTGCATCAAATCTGGCAGGTAATGACTGTTTCTTGGTTGATCCACCTCACTTCTGCAACCTCCAAAAGAATTCCCCATCAAGAACTGGTGTTTGGGAGGTGATGGATAGAAGTTTACATCGCAAAACTACATATGATTTACTGTAAAATATCAGACATTCCAGTTTTAAGTCCAGATACTTCATTTTTAAATAGTTCTGCCAGTGAAATAAATGGATTGTTTTTTTTAATTGTATTGAATTATTCTGATTTTGTCTGTTTTCAACAACTGGGAATTTTTTTATGCCAGCCTTTATTTTCAATCTTCATCTTTTATTCTAATGAGAAAAACATGAAGACAGTTAAGTATTTGGTCTTTTACTCTAATTACTCTAATAATCATAATCTTAATATAGTTTGTATATTAAGAGAGATTTTAATTTATTTTTTAATTTAATTTATTGGTACATTCTAGGTAGACAGTACAGTTACATTCATTACTGGGATCTTGTACCTTTACATGCCAGGTCTTGGTTCTCATTTTTTCCCCTTGTCCCTACCCTCCCTTCACCCTCCCCTCCCCTTCCCCCTTCAAACACTTTAATTTCATTTTTACATTTTCTCATATTTTTTTCCTTTTCCCTTGTTCCCCCTTCCCTATCCTTCTCACTGTCTCTACACCTTTGGTAAGAGAGATTTTTAAGTATGCACATTTACACTTTGATTCAGAGAAATAAATAAGATGTGAGGAATTTTCAAAAAAATAATAAATTGTCAGTGCCAGAAGGAAGAAGAAGAAAACTCTCAGATACTTGAGATTTTAAGCCTAATTGATGAAGAGTGACTAGGTAATTGTAGGTTTATAAAAACAAGAGTGCTAGAACACTTTCTATTTTTATATGAAAATGAGTTAACTACTTTCACATTTCAGTGTTCTGAGCATAGTTACATGGCATCTTTTTAAATTTTAAGTAGTGGAAAAGTCATCATAACTTTATGGCTAGAAAGCAATACAACAGTTTACATTCATTTCACACACTTTGCATCAGACTCTTGTCTCCATTACTAGAAGCACAAAAATGAAGGAGATGTATGCTTGTATGAGCTCTTTTGCCTTGGAGGTAGACAAGGTAACTCACTGTATTAAAAGTGTGTTTAGGGCTACAGTGAAGTTCTGAGCACATAGGAATTACAAACACCTTGTTTCCTCCAAAATAAGACCTATCCAGAAAATAGCCTTAAAAACTAGAGATCAAAAATGTCAGACCCAATCAGACTATTCTTGCCTTACTGCCATACAGTCTTTTGTTTGTTTTTTGGTTTTTTTGTATACACCTGTGATACAAAGACAAATATGCACAGGTTTTAAATATAACATGAAACCTGGTACAGTGCTGCATAGCTGTAGTCATAGCAGTGGAGAAGTTGAGGCAGGAGGATGGCCACAAGTTTGAGGCCAGCCTGGGCTCCATAGTGAGTTCAAGACCAGCCTGTACTACATAGTAAGATCCTGTCTCAAAACAAATGTTTTATAGTTACCCAAAGGCAATTAACAAAGGTATCTTAACACACATCTGGGTGAGTTATTTTGATAGCAGATATACACAGCATCTGTGTATATAATATATATTAATTTGTATTCAAAATTGTTTCTACATATTTGGATTTCCTAGAAAGGATGACTTGAAAGTTCCTGTGGACCCTAAAACAACCTCTTCCCTAAAAATTATAAACTACATGTTAATGAATATACATAGGCTTTGTTCCAAGTATTGCATACAGGAGGAAATAAAATACCCCACAGGTTATATTCAAAACCCTGAAAACTTTGCCAAAGTCTTCCAGTAAAGAAGATATTTTAAAAATAATGAGAAAAGAAAAACTAAAGCTTTATGCAAATGAACAGATAGAATGAAATTAGGACAATGACTTTAAAGGCTAGATGTTCTGTTGCAGACACATTTGGGACATTATAAGACCATAGCAGAAAGCATGAGGTATGTGGCACTTTGAGAGGAGGTTTTGAAGAGGTAAAAAGAGTTATGGGAATAGATAAATGTTTGAGTGGAAATGGAATACAGTTTGTTGTGGCTGATATTTATTTTTCCCTCACAAAGCCTCTTGCCCTCATAGGTGAGGCTTTTCAGACAGAGGTGGCTGGATCTAGAGTGTGTGAATGGATTTAGGGTATGTAAATATAGATTAAGGGTGTGCTAACTAAATTAGTTATTGGTTTATCATAGCTCTGAGTGTGGATAATGACAAAGTAATACCTCATAAGGAGCCTCACTGAGATAAAAAGAAAAAGGGAAACTTGTTGCTGCTGCTTTGCTGCTGCTGCCTCCTGCCTGCTCTGCTGTGGACTGTTCATCCTCTCTGATGCCTAATTGCGATGCCACACAGCCTTAGAGCCAGCTAACTATGCACTGAAACCTTTACAAATTGAGCCAAAATAAGACTATCCTACTTTAACCTATGGTGTCATGTATTTTGTCCCAGCAGTGAAAAAGTAACTAAGACAGAGTTTTTAAAAAGCAAAGGACCAACTACAGAATCTTGGGAGGATACTC